ATCTCCAACACCAAGAAGGGCAATATGTCAAGCAACTCCTTCATCGCCAAGATGAAGAGTCTCGGGGATGAGCTTGCAGCCGCCGGTCGTCCAGTGACCGATGGCGAGATGGTTGAGTATATCCTCGCCGGCCTTGATCGGGACTACGATCCCATAGTTGCTGCAGTCGGCGCAATCAAAAATTCAATCACCGTGGATGATCTTTTCTCACAGATCGCAGCCTTCGACCAGAGGATGGAGATGTTGGGCGACGGGCCTTCAGGTTTTCGTTCGTCTGCAAATACCATGTATAGAGGTCGTGGGCAGTACCGCAACAGAGGAAGTCGCGGGAGAGGGAACAGAGGGCGCGGCCGTGGCAATCGCGCCCCTTCTTCTTCTGCTCGCGGAGGTGGCGGCAAATACCAGCAACGCCAGCAACAACCTCCACAACAACAGCAGCAGCAACATGAAGGGGACTATCCAGAGTGCCAGATCTGTTATAAGTTCCATCCCGGAGGTGCAAGGGCCTGCTGGCATCGGTATGATGATGATCATGAAGAGAGGAAGAAGGCCAACCTCGTCACTAACTCCTACGGGATTGATACAAATTGGTACGCAGATTCCGGAGCTACCGAGCACATAACAGGGGAGCTCGACAAACTGACAATGCGAGAAAGATACCACGGAGGTGACCAAATTCACACAGCAAGTGGATCGGGTATGGAAATTTCTCATATTGGTAACTCAATTGTTAAAACCCCCAAGAAAAATTTGCATCTTAATAATGTCTTACACGTCCCTCATGCATCAAAAAATCTTGTCTCAGTTCATCGATTTACTCTTGATAACCAAGTTCTCATAATATTTTATCCTTATTCTTTTGTGGTTAAGGACTTGGCAACGAGGAGAGTCATTCTTAGAGGAAAGTGTGAGGGAGGTCTCTACCCACTTATATCATCCATCTCTTCATCAGGGTCCAATAAACAAGCATGGAGTGTTACCAAACCATCTTCAGCAAAGTGGCATCGTCGCTTGGGTCATCCTTCTTCAACTATCGTTCAGCATGTTCTTAGTAGAAATAAACTTCCTTATGAGTCTAGTGTTGAGTCAGTTTGTGATGCGTGTCAACAAGCTAAGAGTCATCAGTTACCATATCCTATCTCTACTAGTGTATCTACTGCTCCTTTGCAACTTATTTTTTCAGATGTTTGGGGACCAGCCCCTACATCCGTCGGTAGATTCTCATACTATGTAAGCTTTATTGATGATTATAGTAAATTTACTTGGATTTATTTGCTAAAGAAAAGATCCGATGTATTCCAAGTCTTTACCAATTTTCAAAATCTTGTTGAACGTCAATTAAACTCCAAAATCCTTGCTATGCAAACGGATTGGGGTGGTGAGTATGAAAAACTCAATTCCTTTTTTCAAAAAATTGGAATTTCACATCATGTCTCTTGTCCCCATGCTCACCAACAAAACGGTTCTGCTGAACGAAAACACCGTCATGTTGTTGAAGTAGGACTTGCATTGTTAGCTCATGCATCTATGCCTCTTAAATTTTGGGATGAAGCTTTTCTTACTGCCACATATCTTATCAATATTCGTCCTAGCAAAGTCATCAAATTTGAGAATCCTATCACACGTCTTTTTGGTATCACTCCCGACACATCTCTTCGTATTTTTGGTTGTGCTTGTTGGCCTAATCTTAGACCCTATAATACACGCAAACTTACGTTTCGTTCAAAAAAATGTGTCTTTTTAGGATACAGTCCCATGCACAAAGGGGTTAAGTGTCTTGATGTCTCTACTGGTAGAGTCTATATCTCGAGAGATGTCATCTTTGATGAATCTGTTTTCCCGTTCGAATCTCTTCATCCAAATGCCGGCGCTCTTCTTCGCAAAGAAATATTGCTTCTACCAGATTTTGATCAAGGGGGTGATAACAATTGTGCTAACCAAACTGATGAAAATACTCCTGCCTCTACTCATGCTGTTATGCCTGTGCAGGTACCTGAAGAAAATTTGGTTCAAAATGATCAAAATTATGTAAATCAGGCGTTATTTCATGTAGAAGAGGCTGGCGCAGTTCACGAGGAAGATATGGCGGCGCCTGCTACACCTGTGCGCCTGGCAGCCTCGGATCACTCGCGCGGATCCACCTGGGATCGCTCGCCCGGTAGCAGCGGCAGCGGCAGACAGTCCGACCAGGGAACAGCGACAGGATCCCCAGCAGCCCAATCAGCGGACGAACCGCGGGCCACGCGCGTGACAGCGACAGGCCAGCCAGCGGTCGAGCGCGGCCGAACCGCGGGCAGTACGCGGCCCACGCGCGGATCAGGAATCGAGCGCATGCAGCCAATGAGCGCCTCTGCGCGCATGCATTCACCGGGATCCGCTGCGGACAGGAATACTGCAGCCCAGGACACCCTCGCCTCAGGATCTGCCACACCGATGACCACAGGATCTTCTGCGTCTGCCGAGTCTGCACATGTGGAAGACTCATCTGGATCTTCTGTGGACAGTCAGATTGTGCCTTTTTCTGTGCAACCGCAGCAACAACTTGCCACTTCATCAAGGGTTATGACCCGTTTACAGAAAGGTATTCGAAATCCGAAAATAAGGAAGGATGGCACTGTACCATATGGCATGTTGTGTATTTCAGGTGAACCAGCAAAATTAAGTGATGCGCTTAAAGATCCCAAGTGGAAAAAGGCTATGGATGAAGAATATGGTGCTCTTATGAAGAATAAAACATGGCATTTGGTCCCCAACCAAAGAGGTAAAAATATCATTGATTGCAAGTGGGTTTATAGAATTAAGAGAAAAGCAGATGGCTCTATTGATAGGTACAAGGCACGTCTAGTTGCAAAAGGATTTAAGCAACGTTATGGTATTGATTATGAGGATACTTTTAGTCCTGTTGTGAAAGCTGCTACCATAAGACTTGTGCTAGCCATTGCTGTTTCCAGGGGATGGAGTCTTAGACAGCTAGACGTTTAGAATGCGTTTTTGCATGGTGTTCTGGAAGAGGAGGTCTATATGAGGCAACCACCAGGGTATGAAAATCAACAAGCACCGCACTATGTTTGCAAACTTGACAAAGCTCTTTATGGTCTAAAACAGTCTCCTAGAGCATGGTTCTCAAGGTTGAGCTTACAATTGAAGCATCTTGGTTTTGTTGCATCCAAGGCTGACACGTCTCTCTTCATTTATAGCAAAGCAAATACTGTCATGTTTGTGCTAATTTATGTTGATGATATCATAGTTGCAAGCTCTTCACAAAATGCCACTAATGCTCTCTTGCATGATTTAAGTTCAGAATTTGCCTTGAAGGATCTTGGTGATTTACACTTCTTCCTAGGCATTGAAGTTAAGAAAGTTCAAGATGGCATAGTGTTGAGTCAAGAAAAATATGCTACTGAACTTCTAACTCGTATGGGAATGAAGGATTGCAAGCCTTCACCTACTCCATTGTCTTCTTCAGAACAACTTTCAGCACATGAAGGAGAAATACTTAAGGAAGAGGAAAGCACCAAATATAGAAGCACTGTTGGAGCTTTACAGTACTTGACTTTGACAAGACCAGACATATCATTTGCTGTAAACAAGGTTTGTCAATATCTACATGCTCCTACCTCCACTCATTGGTCAGCTGTCAAGAGGATTGTACGATATGTTAAGCACACTGTGAGTTTGGGACTTCAATTCAGACGTTCTAGTTCTTCACTTGTTAGTGCTTTCTCAGATGCTGACTGGGCAGGATGTATCGATGATAGAAAGTCAACTGGAGGATTTGCGGTATTTTTTGGTCCAAACCTTATTTCCTGGAGTGCTAGGAAACAAGCTACAGTGTCAAGGTCAAGTACAGAGGCTGAGTACAAATCATTAGCAAATGCCACTGCTGAAATCATTTGGGTGGAATCGTTGCTTGATGAATTAGGGATTAAGCAACACCGTATTCCATGTTTGTGGTGTGATAATTTGGGAGCCACCTATCTCTCTGCTAATCCAGTTTTTCAAGGAAGGACTAAACATATTGAAATTGATTTTCATTTTGTGCGGGAAAGAGTGGCAGAGAAGAAGTTGGACATAAGGTTCATTCCATCCAAGGATCAAGTGGCAGATGGATTCACTAAAGCTTTGCCAGTTAAGCTTTTTGAAGAGTTCAAGAGAAATCTCAACATAGGATAGTTTAGATTAAGGGAGGGTGTTAGAGTTTGAGTAGTAGTTGTAGTTTAATCTCAACTATCTCTTCCTTCCTCTCCCGGTTCTATTCCTTCTTGTATTCAAACAGGATTCCTAATCCTTCTCTTGTAACTCACGGCAAGGTGTTTTTGCCAACATATAAATAAACAGCCGCGGCTCTCCTCCAGGAGAGTAGGAACGCTTCCGATCGATCTAATACCAAAGACCCTGAGCACAGACAAATTTTGGTGCTTGAAATCTGCAGGCGCTTCCCACACTGCACACACGTCCTTCTTGTCCTCGCTAAACCCATACATCTTCCTCTGCCTCTCATCCTCTATAATATCACATGGATGATCTCATACCTGCATTTCATCGGGCAAATATTACAAATGCAAGAAAAAAAACATATGCAGCTCAACATTTTAATGCACTTATAGGAAAGTTGAGATAAACAATTCCACTGCAACTCGCACATGCAGCAGAAAGGGAAACTGTTTTGGAGATTATAGGTACAAAACTTTACTACCTTGAAGCATAGCTCCTCAAGGTACGGTGCACCTTGGAGAATGAACATTGTCCAATTCAGATCGCATTCTTCAGAGATGTGGGTCAAAGTCACATGCCTTAATTTGTGGAACACCTGCAACAATTGATCTGGTTCTTCTGGTTTAACCCAGATCTGCACAAGACAAAATATGTCTGTTAACCTAAAGAACAGAACATAAAGGGAAACTTAGTTGACTAACAAGATTATATGTCACCTTCACTAACCTTTTCACACAGAAAATTTAGATGCAGGTCGCTTATGGTGGCTTTGCCAAGGAAGTCACTTAACTTGAGCACCTTGTGCCGTGAGCCATACTGGTGAGGCTCAGAGTCTGGAGCAGTGGGACATAATCAAAAGACAAAGGATCATGCTCACAGACCCACCAAGAATAAGTCAGCATTTTGAGATTTGGTAGCCACACGAGATCAACCCTCTCAAAATCACACTTGACAATCTCGAGTTCACAGAGTAGTGGGTGTGACACTTCTAGCAAAGAAAGGTACCCCATGTCGCAGTTATACAGGCGGAGGAACTCCAGTTGCTTGCATACACTGAGAATTTCAGGGAAGCCCGATGATTCAGCTAGCCTCAAATTTTCTAGCTTGAGTCTTGCCAGACCACTGAATGCCTTTGGACAGGCGTCAAAAAATGACTTAAACTGCATCCCATAAGTGAGAACATCGTCCTTTCTGCATCGTGTGCTTTCCTTCATTGTAAAGAGAGTTAATTCCGCTGACCCAACCTTGTTCATTGCCATGGTGTTGGCAAGAGACTGGCCGATACTAGTAACATCTCCATCTCCCAAGAAGAATTGCACGCGCAGGAGCTTAATGGAGGTGCATAGGCTTGTACTAGTCCTGCTTTCCAGCAAGCTCCTGGTTGCTCCAAGGACGGTGGCATTGGCCCGAGCTACATCATCACGGGTCAACGCTCTATTGTGCTCATCGTCATAGGAACCAACTGTTATAAAAAAATTGGAGAGCATGGTAGGAATCTCCTTCCACCGTCTGGCGAGGATTCTAGTTCTAGCAGCATCTGCGATGTCAAGTCGCCCTAAAATATCGAGCAACACACCCTCAGGCAAGTTACTGAGTCGATCCGATTCATCTTCTTCCTCTGGCTGCATTTATTAGAATGGAACAAAATCAGAGTCGATTTCTTACAGTCTCCTGGATGCTATGTTTATTCGTACGTGTTTCCAGAAAGAAGAAAAAAATCTCAAAAAAGAAAGAAAGAAAAAAAAACTGTATTTTTTGCTGCCTTCCAACAGCAAAACTGCAATTGCGCTATTTTCCGCGCACAAAATAGCAATTTTCACCACTCGTTTCTACTATGATGATCCCTACTTTGTACTATTTGTAACAGGATTTAGATGAAGAATTGTCTCAAGCGATGAAAAAAAGATGTACAGGATAATTAGTAACCGACCAGATTGGCTAGAGAGGACCATCGGTTATGGCTGTTGAGGCCCTTGGCGGATGGTTTGGAGATCGGTCTGGCAGCCGCTGGCCGTCGAAGAGAGCTCGACATCGCCGGAATTCGGATGGATTTTGCTCTTGTGGAAGACCCTGCGATGGAGGAATGATGGCACCGATGGGCTAAAGGCCCAACGTGCGATTGCAGCCATTGTTGTTCGGTCCTCGAGGTCCACCTTGTAGTATTTCTATACCCTAAAAAGCAATACCTTGTGGCATTTCTAAAAAAACTTGTTGTAGTTCTCTACTCTCTGCTACTTCAAAACAATTTTCTCAACAAAAAAAGCTACTTCAAAAAAATAGTGTGTTCTTTTCATGTTTTTTATTTATGGTAATACGTTCTAGTTCACATAAAAATATCAAAGTATAAGCAACATAGACACCGACCTGACAAAACTAAAAAAGACATCAGAAAGTTGGCCTTTACACAATGGACCACCTGTCAAAGAAAGAAAATTACAAAGAAGACCGATGACACCCTTGAGCTTGACTCTAATGCCGGTCACTTGTCTCTGGCATGACTGCGACTGACACCAAAGAAAAATAACAGATCTCCTCTTCACCCTAACTCGACACGGCTCCATCACTGATATGCTGGTTTTCAGAATTCCAAAGTAGCTCACCAAAGGTGAAGTCATTACTATTCAAAGAATCTGGCCGGAGTAACACCTCAGACATGCCATCGAACTCCATATCTAGCGATCCTCAATGGTGCTTGGCACCAATCTGTTCGTTAAAAGCACTCACCATCTGTTTGTGCCCCCCCCCACCACCACCACCCACACACCTCGTAAGGTGGCGCACATTAAGGATTATCGTTACATCTTTCATGTTGCTCTTTGAGTTTCTACGGTTGCAAGGTCATCTGTAGTGTAACTACTTAATTTAATTTAATTTTAACTTTTTGAAACTTATGTTTATAAGAAAATATTGAATAGTTCTTACTTCATATATTAATAAAAATCCTGACCCAATTAGACATATTCTAGGAATCCGGTTTTGCGAACCTTTTAGAAGGTTTCGGTCCAATTATTTTCCTTTTCTTGTTGTTTTCTTTACCATATTTCTTTCTTTTTTTATTTTTATTTTTCTCTTGTCCTGTTCCCCTGTTTTATTTTTTCTTTATGTTAATGTTTGACATTTTTAAGAATTTACGTGAATAAATTCAGAATGTTCCGAATATAAAAAAGTCAATGTTAAACATAAATACAATAATTTTCAAAAAATTTAATTTTTAAAATGTTGGTTTTACAAACCATTTACAATTTAAATAATTGTCTGCCTTTTAAAAATTGTTGAAATATTTCAAACAAAATTTCATACATTCAAAGTAAACATCCTAAAATTTATGTAAAATGTGACATTTTTTTCAAAAAATTCTCCTATACATTTCAAAACAAGTTTGCGTTAAAAAAATACTTATTTTACAAAATATGTGCTCAAATTTTTTAAAGTGTTTATTTTTTAAGACAATAAATATTGATGTTTCTAAAAACAACAGAAACAACTAGTTCAAAACTAGTAAAAATAGGCAACAGTCGCTCAGCACTTGGCGATAATGATCCAGTTGACCACATGTGCGGTAGGTTGACAGTTTGAAGCAAAAGGGTGTTATATATGTGGATCCTACTCCCCGTGTAAGGAGTGGGAAGTCCACCAATAGCACCCCCTCAACCCACTATGCGGTATGCGCAGCACGGTGTGCAAATCCATATATATATTCAGCGCATCACTCTCTACCAACTCTGGACATTTTGAAGAGGAGGAATAAGGAGTGGGAAGTCCACCAATAGCACCCCCTCAACCCACTATGCGGTATGCGCAGCACGGTGTGCAAATCCATATATATATTCAGCGCATCACTCTCTACCAACTCTGGACATTTTGAAGAGAGAATATGGCTGATCGTGATGTTTGCCCACTATGTGGTTGTCAGGACTCATGGAGGCATGCTCTCTTGTCTTGCACCACATCGCGGTGTGTGTGGGCTTTGTTAGATGACGAGCTTGTAGCTCAAATGGCAGAGATTATGGAACCAAATGCGAGGATCTGGCTGTTCGAGTTAAATGATAAATTGGATCAAGCAAACTTCACCAAGATGGTCGTCACACTCTGGTCGGTGTGGTACGCGAGCAGAAAGGCTATCTACGAATCGATCTTCCAGAGTCCCCAACATACAGTGTCTTTTGTCACCAACTTTATTGCCGAGTTAGGCCAGCTACAACCTAGCGGTACTAGCCAGGAGACCAGCTCTGCTCCGCGGTCGCAGGTCAGAAGGTGGCTTCCACCCCCGGCGGGATTCGTGAAGGTTAACGTTGATGGTGCTATTGCTAGATCTCACCATGGCGGAGCAGTCGCAGCCGTGTGTCGGGATCAGACTGGCCTCTATCTAGGGTCATCGGCGGTGGTTTATCGGGGAATCAATGACCCTCTCATCCTGGAGACATATGCATGCCAAGAAGCCTTGGCATTAGTAGATGACCTCGCGACCCGGGAGATTTGTGTGGCCTCAGATTGCCAGGAGGCGACCAACGACATCAACAAAGGGACAGGAGGTCCAAATGCTTCTATAGTACATGAAATAACGAACCGGTGTACCAGTTTTATTTCTAGTTCTTTCATACACGAACGTAGGAACTTTAATTTTGAGGCTCATAATCTCGCCAAGTTTGCATGTAATCTTGAAGTAGGTAGATATCTCTGGTTGGGTAACCTCATGACCCAAACCTTGTACCTATGATGATTGCGTAGGATGAATAAAGAAAGCGAGATTTTACTCAAAAAAAATATACATTCAGCGCATTAAGCACCCCATTAAGGGTGTTTTCGTACGGGGTGCACCCCTCCCCCCCGGTACGGTAGGTTTAGTAGCAGGCTGTCCCACATAGTTATGTTTTTGTCTATGTTTTCCAGTTGGGTTTTTTCTCGGATTCCTGTTCCGGTTTTTCTTTGGTTTTCTTCTTCTTTTTTGTTTCTTTTCCTTTTTCCTTTTTTCTAATTTTTTTTAAGTTTTTGTAAACAATTTTAAAATCATGAATATTTTAGCCCGTGTTTTTGAATTCATGATTAATTCCCATGTTTTTTAATTCATGATTAATTTCAAAAAGATGTGATTCTTTTAAAATTCATGAATATTTTAGCCCGTGTTAAAATATCATGTTTGCTGTTGCCTCAAAATTCAGTGACTAGTTCAGTTATGTACTTATGTGTTGAAAACCATATGGTCAAAGCATATATTATTTGGTATAAAGCTTTTGAGTTTCAGTGTTGATGTGCATTCCTTCCTTTAGAGCAACATGTTGTTGTTGGATAAAACTAACACCCTTGAGTGCGCAAAAGTTGCCTTGTTTATTGCAAGGTAGACCTCAAGTACAAAGCGCAGTTCATATTGCACCTACTGTAGTGACCACTGACCAATAAGCTAAGAAAAATCTGTTATGCTGACCAAGGTCATGTTTTTCTTTTCCTGTTGAACTTCTGACTAAGGTTGTGTTTACCCTGCTTTGTCATGTTATATTCGATGGCGTCGGAAACTCTTTTTATTTGGGACCGGTCTTCCTCGTTCGGTCACTCCTCGTCGACCTTGTTATTATTAGATTTTTGCTTTTATCCAGGCGAGATTTCTTGAGGGGGGCTGGCCATGACCGTGTGTTTTATGTATAGTAAATCTGTTTACATATTGAATCGTCAGAAAACCTGTTGATTGAATGTTGTACATAAGTCGTTGAAGGCCAACTGAAAGCATCACCTTCTTGTTCATTTAACCTTCATCCTTCATTTTTAACAACAGTTGCTTTAATTGCAGTTTGGCTACTGGACAAAATTGCAGTTTGGCATAACGCGTTGGGGAGAATCGCATGTCTTGTTGCATTTTCTATTTCACATGGAAAGGGAGGAGGCATTGGCATCCCATTGCAACTTCTCCACCGCCGGCCGACCGACTTCTTCATTCGTTTTAGTTAGGCATGAAAGAATACAACAACCTTTGGTAAATGTTGAATGTTCAGTTTTGCACAGAAAATAAAGAAAGAAGAAATGTTGAGAATCCATCCAGCACAAAGCACACGACTCTAAAAGTAAAAGCCACTTGCTTTCCCGAGCTTTGTCATTAGACCAAACATCATCTTGCTTTGAATTGCTACCGTGCCACAAATCGACCGACTGACCACGTGGTTTGAGGTTCTGTCAGTGGAAATATAGCTAGCTATCCCTACTGCACCAGTGATAACAATAAGGTTTGTTCAGGCAACTAAGTTCAAGGTTCCGACAAAATTGCTACTACTGTACATAGCTTAACGCAACCAAGTTCAAGGTTAGCAACGATATGATTGGTAAAATTATTCAGTTATTATGCCAAAGCTACAAGACCCAAGACAAAAGGTGTGTTCTAGGTGTCAATGCAAAGAACAAACCTAGTGTATGTTTCCTTTACTTAAGAACATGTGTTAACAATAACCCTCTGTTGCATTCGATAAGGCTCATCCCATTTAATTGATTTTAATCATACTGATTTTTGCAGTAAAAGATGGAAGCAGAAGAATCTGGCACAAAAGAAGTGAAAAGCGACTTACAGAATCATGTCTATTTACGCTACAGGAACACTAACTAAAAAACTAGGGGAGCCATTGATAGAAGTTAGCAACCCCACTTTTATAATAGAACCAAGAGTAGAGAATTTACATGTAGCTATCATGTTGATCATTATATGCCTCTTTTTTCCTTTAACAGCCCCCGCGGCCCATCAACACTGCATGAATAGAAAAGATAAGAACAGGTTAGGCATGGGGAGGTGAAGAAAGGAAGAAAGCAATTAAGCAATACTTACTAAAGATTAAAAGAAGAAGGAAAGAAAGAATGGTTCCTTGGTAATCTAAGGTGAGAAAACATTGAAGGGTAATGAGATACAACGAGAGGTAGTATCTTAACTCTGCACAACAAGGTAGCATGTTTCCAGTATTATACGAATGTCGGGTACTTTTTTATAGGATGAAGTTGAAAAAGGATACTGACATAGTGTTTTTTCTCAAGAACTACTTGCCAACACCAAACTGGCCA